CAGTATCACTACGGAAGTAGATTGCCCCATCTTCCTTCCGAGGAGTGGCTGGTGGGTTTGAACCGCCAGCCTTCTGGTTAGCAGTCAAGTGCCTGAGCCACTATGCTACCAGAGCTCCTAAGCAGGAATATACCCTAGATCAAAGATAGATTTGACTGAAGATAATCTTACATATGCTACAAAATGAGTCATATACATTACAGAAGTAACAGAAGATAGAGTTGGAGTAACTTCTCAGAGACAACCAAACACCTTGAGAGAGACAATCACCAGGCTCACCGACTCAGGACCATAGTCTCAGGAGACATCACGTTCAATTGGCACGACATAGTACATAAATATCTTGTTTTACAACCTACTTTGGTGAGTAGCAACTGGAGTCTTAAAAGCTTTCCAGTGGCTATGTAAGATGCAACTCTTGGTCTCCTCTCATCTGAAGCAAAGAAGAGTGAAGAAAATCAAAGGCACCTGGAAACAATTAGTCCAAGGACAAGATGGACCATGAGGACCTCAGCCTTCATGACCACACGACCAGAAGAACTAGATGGTGCCTGGCTACCAATGCCAACCACTCAGAAAGAGATCAAAACTGGAGATCCTGGACAGAGTGGGAAGAAAAATGTGGAACAAGATTAAAAAATGACCAGAATTACTTGTTGAATAGAGATTGGTAGAACCCCCGAGACTATGGCCCCAAGTTACCTCTCTATTTCAGGCCTAAAAATGGACTCACTCCCATGGATTGGCTCTCAGCTCAGCAGGAGAGAGACCTACATGCAGAACACCTACCCCATGGTGAGGCACCCACCTACTTTAGAGAGATGCACCCCTTAGATCAATCAGCCATGAGACACCAGAGGGGCAGCATTCACATAGAGGGAAAGCTGGACAGACCGGAATACATAGTTAATAAAGGCACAGAGAATGGGTAGTCACAGGTAGGGGAGGAGAGAAGATTTTTTTATAGTTAGGGAAGGTAATTAGAATGTGAAATTAAATGTGCATAAACTGTTGAATGTAAAACAAATTTGCTTTGTAAATTTACATCCAAAGCACAATCAAAAAGTTTTTTAAAAAAGGAAAAAAAAGAATACCATTTAAAGCCCAGCTCCACAACTTAACGTGTGTACTGGAATTGAACCCGGACAGAAGAGCAGTCAGCCCCAGGGTTATGGGTGAGGAGAGACAACGCAGGACGCCAGAGTAGCAGGCCGGAAGAGCAGGAGAAAGGGGATAAAAGCCTTGAACCCGGACAGAAGAGCAATCAGCCGAAGGGATTAGGTGAGGAGGGGAAACTCAGG